AGTTAAGACTTGTGAAACCATATATGGACGTCCAGAATAATGGTTTATTCCACTATAGTTTAAGTTACTGGAATGAGGGTTTTGGGAACAAGAAAACTTACAATAGCTCTCTTATACTGTATATTACATAGGAGAATTTGAAATGTTGGGAAACATTTTCGTAAGCATCATAGAAGTCAACATGTTTGATTTGCTTTCGCGGGCCACATCAAAAGATGTGGCGGGCCAGATCTGGCCCCCGGGGCCTTGAGTTTGACACATGTGCTCTATACTGTATCTGTAAAACTATGTGTTGTTTTTCTTTCAAAAAGAAGGCAATTTCTGAGTGACTCCAAACTTCTGAACAGTAGCATATTAATTAATTTATTTCTACATTGCCACTTTACAAACTGTACATACAAAACTGTATTCAGCTCAACTTTATACACATCAGGATGACAGTTCTAGTTTATGTTATGTTGGTGAATACTGTTTTTTTTTCTTTGTTGACATTTCACGTTTTATGCTTTTTGGATGAAAATGTTAAATGTGAGATACTCAGGAGGGTAAGCAACCACAAATGAGGTTCCAAATAAATAAATACATCTGCTGGAGTGAACAATGAGCAATTCTCACCTGGTTGTATGACCCTAGGCTTGGCTCCTAGGTAGGCCAGATTCACATTTGCCTTCCTGCCATCTATAATGGGGTTGGGGTCCTTGCAAGCCCGGTCAGCGGAGGCCCGGTCTGCCATGGTCACCTGTCGGAAGACACAAACAACAACATGCATTTCTATTACTAAACAAACTTCAATCGGTGTTTCACAAACTTAGGGATGGGTCATATCTTGAGTCTTTTTGATGCATGTTTATTCTCATAATTGTTGTTTGTTCTTGTACTATGTTGTATGCCAATATTGTAGCAATACATGGTGGAAGTCGCAAAGTCACGTACAAATCATCAATATTATACTTCAGTACATCTTCCAGGTATCTGTACTTGAGTATTTTTTTCCTGACAACTGTACTTCCAACTTCTTTGTCAAGATGTGATTGTTACTTTTTCAGTCAACGCAGGTAGGCTGATTTGTTTGAGATCTTGGCTACCTGAGTGAACCAGGGAGCATAAACAACAACACACCAGATTTGAAGAAGCAACATATTCCCCATTCATAGCCTGATTTAACATTGTCAGCTCTACTAATGATTCGTGGCGAATGTTTTGTGACTTGTGCCAGCTTTAAAACACTTAAAAACTCTCCCATCTGATCTGGAAAAAAAATTGCTTTTGTTATCATTGGCTAACTTAGCCTTTTGTTTGTTGTGCACAGAAATGATTTTTTTTTTTTACTTGTGTCAAGATAACATATTGTGCTTTACATTTTTACTGTTTTTCATTTTCTGCAAATAAAAGCTCTTTAGGAAAATATTTGTATTCGTAATTTGGGAGTCATGCTGTGAATAGTTTAAAGAATTTAAAACTTGTTCATTTAACTCATCCTATTAAGAGCAAAAGCAGAGAAACTAATCAGTGGGATCAATATTTTTTAGAGCTGTAACTGACAGTAAAAACTTACCATCGTACTTAGTCTGTCCTTTTTTTTCTTGACTTTTATTTAAGATTGTATATTGTTTTACACGAGTATAATTCTGCTCAGTGCAGTGTGAGTAAGCATGGTGCTCCAATTCACTTGACACATGTCAACATGCCACATACTGGCAGCAACACAGCCTGTCGCACGTGCTCCAAGAACATTACAAAACGCCAACTTTTTCTTTTCTTTCTTTTTTGTTTTTGGAGTGATCACTTACAAATCCATAACCTCTGGACTTCCCCGTCTGACGGTCTGTGATGACCACAGCCTCCTCGATGTCCCCGAACACCTCGAAGTACTTCCTGAGACTCGAGTCGGTGGTGTGGTAGGGGAGACCTCCCACGAAGATCTTGGTGAAGGTAGTGTCTTTTTGGGCCGAATGCATGTTTTATGAAGTTAATTGAATTAGACGAGTTCAAAATAAAATGGGGTGGGGGGGGAAAAAGGCACTTGGGAGCTAAGAACGTCTGAGTAGAGGGACAGGACGTGAATGTGTGGAGTGCGGCTCCGACAGAACAAGTTAAGTCCGCCGGTCATAGGCGAGGGGGAGGAGGAGGAGGAGGAAGAGGACACCTGTTAGTTTGTTACCCACTTGTCAGATGAGTCACATGTATGTAACTCCACCCAAGTGGCGATCATCTCGCTAGAACTGCCTCACAGCAGTCGGAAGAGGGGAAAAAACATGTCCAAAAATGAACTTAAAATGTGCTCTTGTTGTTTATTACATTGTGGGTTTTTGAAGAGTTGAAGTGAGTGGGTACTTGTACGCAGAGCGTCCCCTGTTGGCTGGAGGTGGTCAGAGGCCCTCTGGAAAGGAAACAAGTGTGTGTGAGTGTGTGTGTGTTTCTTGTGGTTGTGGGTGACGTCAGCGCACCTTCGTACGTTCTCTTACTTTAATTTACAGGTAGCCCAGACGTAATGTTGACATATGAGGTTTATTTGAGGCAGCAACAGAGAATCCAAAGCCATGTTGGCTATCGGGCAATAACCCCGCACACAGTTGTTAAGAGCTCCAAATCGAAATTCAAATGTTAGTAACATCCCCGGGTATGATGTCGTGAATAAATGGCCCATATATTTTAAAATAATAATAATAAGCAGGGGGGAAAAAGCACAATATAAAGCTGAGCGAGATGTGGCTCTGTTCGTTATTATTTGTTGGATGACGAAAATTAATTGTTCACTTTCTTGATACTGTAATTTCTTTCTCATGTTTTGGGTTAGCGTCATCGTAATTTATTATTATTTTTTATTTGAAGCGGATGATTGAAAGCTAATCGAATAAATTCTACTACTACTGCCGTGTCAATCAAATTGACCCTGCTTTTGTTTTGAATTTTGCAGCATTGAGCAGTCAGGGCCAGCAAGTCCTTTTTTTGTTGTGTCAGTCTAATCTGCCTATCGGGCTTTCAGAATCAGTAGTGCTTGCTGGTTGATGAAACTTAAATTATATTATAAATTGTTCTAACCAACTTTGACGAGCAAAACACCTTTGTGAGATCCGCAACTATTTACATATTATTGTACTGTACTTCATAATCAGTGTCTTTAGTGAGTATGATGTGTTTTATTTAATTGGTTGATGTTTTTGTCATTGTGGTGCCTCTGATTAAAAAGTGGTTTAGTGGTTGGGTGAGTCACTCCTGAAGACCCAAATACCAAACACACGGCCCACTACTGCAGAATCTCAGTATATGAGTGGTACATGTATTTAGAAAACAGGATGAGTTGTTATAACTATAACAGCTCTTAATATGATGCAGTAAATGAATACCCACCCAAAGCCATACGGGCATTGTTCATATTTTTCCTCCCAATTTATTGTATTTAATCTCATTCGTGGAAGTGTGCCCATTGTGGTGGTCAATGAGTTAAATCCCGTAACCACCGCCCCCAACCCCAGGGAAGTATAACTCCCCCTGTGCCAAACCGATTTCTTATGCACTGTGAACAACTGTCACATCTACAGTAGGCTACTGTATATATTCACACACACACACTCAACTTGTACTCATTTTATATTTGGTCTCATTTTTTAAATGTTGTTTGTGTTCATAAACTGTTTTTTTGTCAAACAATTCAAGCAACTTTTAAATTATTTGTATTAATGCATAAGGTATAGTTACAAGGTAGACTTTAAATTCCATTAAAAAAAAAGTTAGAGGCAACACTGCAACATTCTGTGTTCACTTAAACATTTCTTATACCATGTGCTTCTGATTTTTTTGTACCGGTACATATTGTCCTGGGCAATAGACTGCTTTGCACTGGATCCTTTTGATATGATGCACTGCTGTTTATTTTCCAGTGTATTCACATTTTACATGTGCATTTAGGACTTCATTTGTAAAAAGTACCTAGAATTTTCTTTTCCGTATGAAGAAGACTGTCTACATAAACTTTCCCTTCCCTACATAACAATATCAAATAGTTTGGAATTACAATTTTTAATTTAAACTTTAACATTTTTATAATGTAAAAAATGATTACATTTATGTTTAAGCTTAAATGTATTTATCAAATGTTTGCAATACACACACAAAAAAAAAATCACAATTTATTTGGATCTATTGTTCTACTACGGTACTTCCACTATTTCATATGAAAGTCATTTTTAAACCTGCAGCCAAAATTCCAGTAAGCCAAATAAAGATTTATACAGGCTATAAATACTGGCTGTATCATGTTTTATATGTGTAGTGTGTGTCTTTGTGTTTGTGCATGAGGACATACGGAAAGGTTATAAGGGGAAAAGCACAGGTGTGCACACTAAAAAGAAGTGATTGCTGTCACAGTGTCACACTGCAGGGACACCCAAATAGAATGCAGAATATTACGTGCCTCACCTGTGCATTCCCTATATGACAACTTTAATGTGGTTTAAAAAATAAAAATCACCACACGACCTGTGTGCCCTCTACGGTATCTGTCACCCTTTTGTAGAAAAAAAGATTGACTTTTATGGTTGATTCCACAGTGCCACGTTTAAAAGTAAGGTTTGGATTGTGCCCTGTATTGACGCCAGCTTGAGAGAAAATACAGTGCAACGTGTGAAAGGACAAAACAGACCTTTCGACAAGACAGGTAAGAAAATAGAAAAATATAAATGTAGCTTTTTCAGTTAAATTTTTCATCAATGTAAAAATGCAGGCAGGCAAGATGGCGCTGCAATGCAGTACAAAAAGTATCACATTATTCACCACCAATGTCTCTCTCTTTAATGAAAAGCATGCTTTTTTTCTAACAACAAAATTTGAGTGATTCATTGTTTTCTTTATGTTTGGATTTCTAAAAAGTATTTGGGGCTACATGCTATTTATTGGACAGAGAATAAAGAAATGTTACTTTTAAATTGAATTGTCATCAAGTGTGCGGGGAATATGGAGATACAGTCCAATTGTCCAATAATAAAAGCACGCATCAACAATTAGTGCTACTTTTTATCTTGACAGGTTCATACATTTTTAAACTAATTGTTTCCCTGTGTTTTGGATTTGAAAAAAATTGAGGTACAGGTATGCTTCTCATTAAACAGCGACTGTCTATAAACAGGAAATATTAATGCAGAGAAAAAACTAATGTTAGAGTCAATTCAACACAAACGTTAACACAACGGTTTGACTGTAAATGTTCTATTCTAGAACATTCTTGTACCCATTAAAACACTTTTTTTGCGATACATCATAAATACAAATCTGTACATTATAGTGTAAATACTATTTTTAAAAAAAACACAACTTGTATTTACATCTCCACAGGGGAGAGCAGCTGAAGGTAAAGACCTTCCATTTACAACGTGAACATATACATTATGTATAGATGCATCCCAACTTTCTTGTCTGCAGTTTGCCACATGTTCAGAACACAACAACCTCATCCTCTCTGTAATGTGACACCGTTCATCACACTGTCATTCGATCCTAAATAGGACAGAATGCATTATTGAGTACCTGCTGATAACTTGTGGTATTATGTATCAGTCAGTCAGCATATAAATTTCACATGGACACACGACAAAAGTACAACAACATCAAAAATGCACATCATTCAAGCCGTACAAAAAAAAAAAAAAAGCACATTGTTCAAGCCAAATAAGACTGGGTGGCATTCAGCAAGCCATTGGGCGTCATCACAATAAACATTACACATTATCACAGGTACACACATTTTTTTAAATGTTATGTGTCCACCTTTATAGAATCAGGGACATAAGGCATTACTGTATCCAAGTCCTGGATGTAGTCTTTAAAATCCTCATATCCAAGTGCTAGACAGAGTCGATAAAGTCTTCATACAGAGATGACATCATACGGCGTTTGCGTCCTCTCAGTCAAAAGTGTGAGAACTCGCTCGGTCAGTTCGGTATGGAAGACCCTCCTGACCATCTCTGAGGATCCTTTCCAGTGCAAGCATTCAAACAGCACAATTCTCATGCTGGAAGGGGATTGTTCGATCCACAGTGTTACAGTACTTCAACAGGATAATTCAAGAGTCTCAAAGTGAAGGCAATGCAGGTTTTCTTGTTGATCTTGAGGATATGTGGAATTAATCCATATCGAGACATGGCACTAAACTTTACACAAATGCACACAGATATACTGTCTACGCTGTTTTCTTCCACATACAATCTGTTAGAAAACGTTACATAAAACTTTGTATGCAAAATTCAGGTTAGTTTTAAAGATGGAGACTTTCCAGGGGAAATAAGTGGAAGTTATAGGAAGGTATACAGAATTTAAATGTTGGATAAACCCAGAATGTAAATTTAAAAAAAAAAAAAACAGCATAGGCCCATTTTTTTAGCCTGTTAGATGAAAAAAAACAACAACAAATATTTATTAATTTGCCTGCATGCCTGCTTAAGACTTTTTTTGTGTGTTCATGAATATATTTTGGATGAAGTAGCCCAAATTTCCAGTTAACTGCCATTCATTCTCATAAAATATGAGCAAAATTGCTCAGTCGAATTTCCCGCGGAAAGTCTCCACCCCTTTGCAACTCAAACTAACAGCAGATATGAAACTCTTTGGTTGCCCCTGACAACACATGAATGAAAATATCAAGGCTTATTGACAGTAGTACATTCTTAATCTTCATATCCCAGATGAATAATCATATGAGCCTCAGGGGATTATGATTATGACACCATACAAAAATATGCTTTCTTGAGAAAACTGAAGTGGCTAATATTTCCATATGGACTCCCAATTATGCATTTCCCCTTAAAAATAGACCCATATGGAAAAACATGTGCATAGTGAGCATGTGCATATTCAGTGATTCGCTTCATAAGAAAGTCAAAGCCAAAAAAAGTCCAAATCAGAATTTTGGCCAAAAAGTCAAGCAGTGGCCCAGACCGTCTTATCTGAGGAGAGTGGTTTGGTCTGTGTCCATGGAGGGCGGGCCTCTGGTCAGACGAGATGGCTTCACGAACACACCGTGGCCCGGAGGACATCGGAAGTACACTCTCCCCTGGACTGTACCATTATGCTTACCTGAGGAAGGGTTAAAATATTACTATATCAGCAATATTCAAAACATTGACTCAGCAAAGAAAGACTAATACAGTCAAGCGTTGTTTTTTTTTCAACATACCCCGTTTACATTTTCACCACTATCACGTTCACATTTCAAAAGTCCGAATTTCACGTAATTCATTTTCCATTTGCCAATTTTGCTTACAACTAACACCTTTATAATGGAAACTTCATTATAACGACCAGAAAACAGTGAAAAGGCCTATACCATGGGAAGCTAACTGCCGCCACGACCTTGCTTGTGAACAAAATGTACAGCTTGGGATTCCCTTTTTTTCTTCATGGTGTATACACATATTTGTAATTGATATGTTTATACTATATTACATGGTCATGTTTTTACATCTATGAATGTTCATGCTGTATTATACATCGTAGTCGGTGGCCATTTTATTGGAAATGGTTACAACGAACCACCGTTATAACGTACAGATTCGTTATGTCCCTCGAATTATGTTGTAACGGGGTTCGACTGTACTACTGCAACTTACTGAGGATTTGTGACCGTCTCTGTATATCTGTATTATACTTCCCCCAGGTGGCCAAGGTGCACACACGTAGAGGAGCAGGACCATGTCCACTGAATTAAAAACAAAATTGTGGCAAAAATAGTTTGCTTTTACATTTTATTGAATTATGCAATTGCCATATGACTTTAAAATCCTATCGGATATTTTATGTGGGTGGGAGGTTGGAACGGATAAATGGCATTTCTAATCAGTTTAATGTGGAAATACAATTTTAGATATGAGTGTTTTGAGTAATGAGTGTGGTCATGGAGCAAATGAAATTTGTAGCTCAAGGCACCAATGTACTTGGAGTTAAAATAAACAGCACCCTCTAGTGGATAAATTCATCAATATCGTGCAGTACACCCTTTGCTCCACTTTCAATAACTCACCCACTGCCAGGTCCAGTTTGACCCCAACCCAGATACCCTTGGCAAACTCCACCCCTCCGACGTAGTGGACCATTCCGCGCCTCTTCCCCACCCACACCAGCTCCCCGGGCGCCATCCAATCGGGGAGCTGTGCGACAGGGGTGCTCTCATCCCCGCTGGAGTCACCCGAGAGCTCCGTGCTGCTTGGGTTGGGGCTGGGACAGGGGCTCCCGTGGGGCACGTCTCCCTGCGCTGGCTCGCGGATAGGAGGGTCTCCTCCTCTGAGAGCCGGGGCTTTAGACAGGGGCGTAACAGCGGACGGTGACGTAGAAGTGATAAGTGAGGTTGGAGATGGGGCGATGGTGCAAATTACAGTGTTACTCGAAACTGGATATTTGTGTAAAGCGGCCGAGGCATTGTCAGAATTGTTCATCAGACTAGTAACTGAAGAGTCACACGTTTCTGTCTTACTAGTCGTTTTCAGTGTCGTGGCGAGCTCAGCACCGTCTTGCTTCCATCCTTCCGTAAAATCGTCCAAATCATTTTCTGCAATACTATCATCCGCCCCTTTAAAGTCCGTGAACTCCTGACTGCAACTGAGGATGCAGTTTGGAAGCAGAGTTCTCTGCTGGCCACAAGAAACACTGTCAGGTAAAGAAGTAGTGGCGGTGAGCAACTGCTGGTCTTCATTTCCAGTGGGAACACCTTTGATTTGTGTGTAGCCCCTTCCAGCATGACATCCGAGGGCGTCTTGGGAATCTCTGGAGGTGCAGCTGAGATGGTCGGAGCTCTCACTGGAACTGAAAGGCAGGTCGGACAGCGTGGCGTTCGACGCGCTGTGGGAAAAATAACCGCTGGTGCAGCTACTGGTTGTGGGGCTACGAGACAGCCCCTTCGGCTCCTTCAAGTCGCCGCGGCTCTCCAGAGTGGCGTTGTAGATGTCAAAGTTTGCAAAGTCCTCTGGGATGTATGCCTGGAAGCCGCCGCCGTGGTCTTGAGGGCCCCGGTCCAGATTGAGAGTCACGTCCACTGGAGTCTCCTCCTCATCAGACTCCTGCTGTTCAATATCAGCAGACATGAGCTGTATGAAGCCTCATCTTCGATTACGACACGACTCAAACAGTTCATGAGGGCAGACTGTGATCATGCAACACGATAGATGATGGCTTGTGTCTGTTGCGATGATAATGCACATTTTTCTTGTTAACAATTAGGTGACATTTCTCCAGGGGTGAATTTACACTTGCATGGGAGGGAAAAAAAAATCTGATGTGGGATCTCAATCGGAATTGGGCATGACACATGAACATTCACAATTTTATGATTTTACAGAATGTAATTGATCACCGATGAGGTAATCATTACTTTGTGCTTGCATACTCTTAAGGTTGAGTTCCAAAAATAGTTTGCAGTTTTGTTGGTTGGCTAGATTCCTTTGTCGGTTACGTGTAAGCCTTTCAAAGCGATGTGATCGCTCTCGCCGCAGTGTGACCTTGTGACTTTTCCTTCCAATAAGAGCAGCGTGTATAGCACTTACAGCACCGTGTGGCAGTGTGTGGCTGAGCTGTCTGCAGGTGGGGGTGGAAGGCTTGCAGTGGCCCTCGCTGCCTGCCCTGGGTCTGCGCCAGGGACAGGGAGGGGGGAGCAGTGCAGAGTTGTCCACACATGAGCGCATGCTCTGCGGATGGGTCAGAACAACAGCACAGACTTCACGCACACACACGTAGACAAACACATTGCATGCATGCGAGCATGCATGGAGCTGGGCAGGTCAGTGACATCGTTAGTGGCATGCATTTCAATAAACAGCTTGCAGAGTAGCTAGTTATAATGCTTGGAATGTAGATACATTGAGTGATTTAAATGGGTGGACAATCGACATTTAGTTTTTAACGCGGTCACAGTCAAGCTATTTGGAAATTGTAAAAGACTGGGCAGAAGGGGCTGAAAAATGCTGATGACATCCAGTATCATTAATGCATGCACGACCCTTGAGAAATGTGTGTTGATGTGATGAGCGACACGTTCGTGCACGGGGTGAGGATCACATTCAATGGATGAACTCAATCATTCTTGCCTCTTGCTCCAGGAGTGGGCGGGCCTCCAGGACTCTCTTCACTTTGTTCTCTTCCTTGACAGGCAGCAGTGACTTGAGGAACTTGGACGGCTGAGGCGATAAAAGCTTGAAGGGACTGGAGTTGAAGAATGTAGGATTCTCTGGAACTGACCCTGTGCAGAGACAATAGGTGATATAGTGTGAAACACAGTACAATAATAAGTGCAAAACACATGATCCCATCTGAATTTGAGGCCAGAGGTGGAGTACAATCTGAACCGATTGCCAGCCAATCACAGGGCACATCTAGACTATCTATTTACACTCACATTCACAGTTATGCACAATTTAGCACCTTCACTGAACCTAACATGCATGTTTTCGGAATGTGTAGAACATGCCACCAACAAATAACTCGCATTTATTGTCAAATTCTCTCATCATGTTTACCTGGCCCTTCCTTGTTTTTAACTGGAGTGCTGCAGAGAGAGCCATCCTGAGGATTGCAGCTGTCAGCATGATCACAGTGGCCCTAGAAACGAATACATAGATCATATTAGCTCAGACAATTAGCTCGCACCATAAAAAAGCAAGACGGCCTCGTAGCCATTTGAAACAAAGCGCATTGTCAGACCACAGCAGTAAAACACGTGATCAACACGGTGTTACGGCATACCTCACATACTTTGCGGTCTTCGTCCTCGCAGCCAGTCAGGTCTGTTTTACTGCAGGAAGACTGGAGAGCAGGAAAATGTATTACCCACACATCCAAACTATTATTTCTCTGTGATCCACAGTGTGTGAGAGTAATGTGCTCATTACATGCTGTACATTTGGTGTGCTGACGCTTCTTCTGAGGTGTCTTCCCTTAGTAGTGAGGGCCTCCTTCACTGTCACAGCCTGTGGAAAAGTATATTTTTAGGAATTGGGGCAAGAGGGGTAGTTCCCACCATATTCATCAGGTGGCTCCTTTGGAATAAAACCTGGCATATTTTTAACAGAGTTGTCATTTTGTACCAAATCTCCGGACTGTGTCTGGCTGTGTCCTGCTTGAAGTTTTAATAATGGGAACCATGGGTTATGACCGAAAGAACAAGATCCTGGATACAAGTGGCCGAAATGAGTTTCCTAAGCAGGGTGTCCGGGCTCTCCCTTAGCGATAAGGTGAGAAGCTCGCTCATCTGGGGAAGGAGCCGCTTCTTCTCCACGTCAAGAGGCGCTAGAAGAGGCGGCTCGGGGATCTAATTAGGAAGCCTCCTGGACGCCTCCTCAGTGAGGTGTTCCAGGCATGTCCCACAGGCAGGAGGCCCCAAGGACGACCCAGGACACGCTGGAGAGACTACGTGTCCCGGTTGGGCTGGGAACGCCTTGGGATCCCCCAGGGCGAGCTGGAAGAATTGACTAGGGAGAAGGAAGTCTAGGCTTCCCTGCTAAAGCTGTTGCCCCGTGACCTGACCCCGGATAAGCGGTAGAAAATGGACAGATGGATGGCATTTTAATTAGGTTATTCTATTGAGAAACTGTTATAATTGGCCTTTATCATGAAATACATTGTATTTGTCCAAATATGTCAGAATGAATAAGACAAGAATTCAAGCACCCCTGGTTTAAGTGGTAATTATCTGGTTTTGGCGTCTCCAATAATCCATGGCTTCCGTGGCCCGACTGTACCTGTCGCAGCCTCTCCAAACTGAGGATATTCTCCACTTGCAGAACTCCCCGAGTGTATTTCTCAATGTAGGTTTCTCCATCCTGAGTCTCCTCGCTGTCTGCACGAGCAGCCATGAGGGCCAACGTCTCTCTCTCCTCTGGCTCCTCTGAGGCCTGACGTGGAAAAGTGAGAAAAGGGGGTTCAGTTCAAAAGACTTCTTTTTGAGTGTCATTATTAGAAGACAAAACGATTATGTTGCACCTTTGGTATGTTGGAAACAATGTCATAGGTCACACCACAGGAGTAAAGCATGTTCTTGAGGGACATTCTCCTTTTGAGACTTTGTGTGAAACTCTGTTTCAGAAGAGTTGAATTAGGTGAGCTAATTAAATAGTATATGCCGCTGTAAATCATCAAGTCATTTCTCGCACACGAACCTGCTTGTTGTAGATGTTGACGGCGACCCTCTTGCGCAGCACCAGCTCCATTGAGGCAGGGTGACTGAGCTGTACTGTGGTTTTGAGGATAAGGTAGATGCGCTCGTGAGGAGACGTGACCCGATTGAGATGCACGGAATCATGGATGGATGAGTCCCACGAGCACACCGCTGACACCTGAAAAAAACAAAATGGCGGAACTGTGTTTTAAAACTTGAAAAATGCACCGTTACTCATAAAGTCAGGCGCACAGTTCCATCTTTGAACACAGGGGGGCAGTAAATACAAAGTAGTGACTCACCTCCTCCTCGCTGTGCTTGATGATGGGGAGATAGAAGAACTGGCTTCCATGCTCTTTGGGTAGGATGGAGTTAACGCCTGCAGCATGTGGGCCTGTCAGCTGCTCATTCACTGTCAGATTATCAGCTGGTGGAACAAAACATATCTATATGAAGCTTCTTAAAACTGCACTCATTAAGTATATCTGCGCAGTCTTATTGGAGATAACAGAGCTGAATGACAAATGTTCTTTCCAAAGACACTAATGCTCAGTTCCTCATGCATATTTCCCACTAAACCAGACCTATCCATGCAGTGTGAAACACTCATTCATCCAGCAGCCATTCAGATTAAGCAAATATTTCAATTAAACAAGGAGCGATGATTAAATTATCTCTCTCTATTAGGTTATGTTTGTTTCATAGGTTGTGCTAAAAAGGCCTAATGATGTGGCTCCTGACTTCAACTTTACTTCAAGAATATGTTTCACTCACCATTCAAATCAAGGAAGAGGACTGGAATATGAGCTTCCATTCCGGCAGGCGGGGTCCTCCGGGCAGAAATTAGAAGCAATGTTACAAAAGCAATAAATCAAATGAATCTGACACAAAGATGGTGGAATAAGCTACACATTTTATACCAGTCAGCAGGAGCTCCAGGGATGCCACTTCCAGGCGCGGGTACGAGCACGGCATTTCTCTCCTCGGTCAGGCCGACCCATTGTTCCACCAGGCGGGCTTCACGTTCAATGTCTTCCTCTGACTTCTCTGAATGGAGCGAGAGGGAAGGAGAAAGTCACCATAAGGTAAAAAAAAAAAGTACAGATAGTGCAGAGGGTGTCTAAAACCGGTGGTCTGCAATGCTCTCTTTCCGCTCGTTGCTTTTCCAAAGCGCACCTCTCCATTTGGGTACCAACTGATGTGATGCGCAAAGGTTTGCTTTCACTAAGGCACTAAGTTTTGGTTGAGGCCTGTACAGAAGTACCTCGTGGTTTTGATTGTGTTGGGTGGAGCTGTATGCGCTGCTGACCACTGTTTGGTAACTGAATTGTCACTTCTGCGTTACAGTGGAATGTACCCGTGTAAGGAGGAGAAAAAAAAAAAGCCACATTTCAAAACTGCCGAGAATTTTGAAAGAAAGTTGTATTTGGGGCTGTTATGTTGCTTGTATTACAGATAATGTTGGCGTGCTGCACCACCCCTCATCACATTTACCTCATGTGTGTGTGTCTTTGAGTTAAATGCTGTCATGCTACTCGGATGTCACCTTTTTACCAAGTATTTTCGATGCATTCCATTGCACTTATTATAAATCGTCACCTTCCTAAAATGTCGGCCCAAGTCTTTTTTTGTCTTTTTTTTTCTCTCCAGAAAACAAAATCAAAAAAACAAAGCAAATTCCAATTTGATTACATTTATCAATAATTTCATTTCAGGGGGAGGAAAGGAATGATCTGCCTGCATTAGTAGTGGTGGCCAGATTCCTGAGATGATATTTAAGGAAAAAAATATTTTGGGTCAAAATATGACTTAAGTCATCATTTTAAGACGCTGAACAAATGCAAGCATGATCAGGATTTTGCAGCTCCAAACTGACTGTGGCTAACCAAAATGTACGACAATGGAAGGAAGAACACAAAAAGCCTTTTTTACAAACAAACAATAACTGTTTTGTTCGAGGAAACAGCGCCACTACAAATGCTGGATGTCTCCTGTTTGCGGCTTTGCACTGTGTCATGTTATGCTCACACTATTTACGTAGCTTTCTTGGGGGTTTCTCTACATTTAAGGGTGGCTAGGAATGTACCAGGAGACAAAGACATGCTGTCGGGAAGCAAAGCACAAACTCCAAATATTATAATTGGTGGCTGGATAGTTTACTTCAATGGTGCACAATAGTCGAGATTTGCGCCTTGGCTAACGATTGAAGTTAACCTGGACATCACACGGCTCTGGTGTCTGCTGGCCTCATATCGTCCGGCAATGACAAAGAGAGACATACACTTGCGGTGCGCCAATATTAAGATTTCCCGATTACCTCCCCCGGAACGGAATCCCTTCTTTTGTAATAATGAGTAATGACGATTATTCGGGGGAAAGTATCAGAGTGAATACTGCATTTTATTTAGGTAAATGTACTACAGTAAAAGCGAAAGTTTCCAGAAATCTAACTGAACTGCGCGACCGAGTAACAAGGTGGCTTTTTTTTATGACTCACCGTGCTTGTTTATGATCTTCTTGATTTGTTCATCGAGGTACTCCCGTCGTTTGATGAGGGCTTCAGACCATCGCTCTCTCACACAGCTGAGATCTTCCTCCTAGAAACAGACATCAACTACAATCAATGCAGGTTGGGCTTCGTGTAGGAGGCCGCGTGTAGCTAAGTGTTACCAGACGAGGGCAAAGGTGAACCAGATTGTCGGCCATATATGCTCTTTTAGACCCCCATTGACAACACTGGATCTCATATAAGCCAAAAGACAATGCTGGAAATGAGCTCCCACACAAAATATTTCTCTCAAGACAAAAGTGGTTAGGGTCGGATATTTAAAAAATAAATAAATACCTCCATACAACCATTTGACACACTCACACATTCTTTCACACACACATCCACATGCAGCAGCCACTCAGAATCCCACCTTATCCCCTTGTGGCAAATTCTCCATTACTAAGTTAGGAGAAAGCAACAAGAAAATCTTTTCAAAACCGAACCGCATCACACCTCTTATATCAGTGCACATCCTCCATGCAAAGTAGTGTCAGCCATGCAACACAAAGTGTTTATAAAACGCGTATTGTTCTTGCAGCTCTTCAGTAGTGGCAAGCAAACGGTAGCATTAGTGTGCAAATGGACTGGCTGCGCCAGCATAGGGTGGAGCTGTGTTTGGCTGCCAAAGAATGGTCGTTATGATACGTTATTACAGCATCGTGTGCGTTTTGTTTAATAAAGCAACGTTTAAAAAAAAATTTTTTTTAGTCGGGAGAGGCACAGCCCTCTTCCTCCTCCCTCGTAGGCCCTCAAGCAAGGGGCCTTTTCGCAAACACGTGATCCTTCATGCTGCGGGTTAAGTTACAGCAGGATGAGGGTACCTGATAACTATCCATATCGTCTTGCACCTCTCTCTGGCAGGAGAGAACACACGCTGTCAGATGCGTGTTAAATTGTGTGTGTGCGTGTGTGTGTGTGTGTGTGTGTGTGTGTGTGTGTGTGTGTGTGTGTGTGTGTGTGTGTGTGTGTGTGTGGAGGGGGAGCAGCTGACAGCTCAGAACCATTTACAGCTCATGCAACTTTCCTTATGAAAACACATTTGTGCAAGTGGACTGCTTGTATATTTATTTTAATCTGAAAACAATTTTTGAAGGCTAACTGTATTACCTCATCCTTTAAGAATTAAACAATCATTTAAAACAAAATTATAGGAAAGAATATTTGCTTATAGTGAGAAGTATACCTGTACAAACACATTTGAGTATCGTCGGCCTTTTATCGGCATCTCAATGTCATGGGCGTGTTCATAAAAAATATGTTCACAGACCTGGTAGGTGTCGAGGGGTCTCTGCAGTTTGGAGGAGCGCAGTGTCACACAGCCGATAGAGACAGACAGCATCGCCTCCACCAGCAGAGGCAGAGTGCCTGACTTTTGGACCGGCTTCACGGTGACATGCAGCCTCCTAGAGTGGCCCTACTTGGACAGATCAACCTCAGTGTGGTGCTTCTGGCAATTACTTTTAAAACGGGTTCTTTTTTGACAGAATGACATAGGTCACAAAGTTTTCTGTTTTTCTCCGACCTGCCGCAGTTGGAAGACTCCTCCCGTGCTGATGTCTTTTCCAGGCTGCAGCTCCACAGCGGCGTACTCTCCCTGTTCATTGAGCTCCTGGATGGAGACCCACAGCTCGATCCTGCGAGACACCTCGCTCCACCTTCATGGAACATGCATCAAAGTTAGAGACACGTACAAATCCTTACGTGTTGATCCATATTTGTTAACTCATCTTGTACGTACCTGTCTCTTAGTGTCTGAGTCTTGGCTTCCAGCGCATCTAACTCCCACGGGGAACGGCCATTCCCAGCACAGCAATGACCCCATACCTCTATTGCCAACGCTCCATCTGATATGAACTCCAGAAAGTCATCTGTCACATGTACAACATAGTCCTGCAAAAAAACACACACACACACACACACACACACACACACACACACACACACACACACACACACGCACACGCACACGCACACGCACACACACACACACACAAGGCTGAGGGCCAAATTCAAGAAAGGCATGTGCGGCTTTTGCATGGCGCTAACCGGTAAAAATGGAGCAAACAAACATTTAGACTTTGCCATGTGTGCAATCAGCCGATAAACAGGTTCAAACTGCACTCAGCCGTCAAACTTTGTGGGTGTATTTGCGCTGTAATGTCAATGTCTTTGTGAATAAGACATTAACATGGAGCAAACCATGGTGGCAAATGAAGTGAAATTAAAGGTGCTATCAGCGGGCACAGTTCATTCTTTGTGAATTCGGCCCTAAGCATTCGGCTAATTTTAGAAACAGCACACACAAGGATTAAACAATCATCACCTGCAAAATCAATAGATGTATGGCTATTAGCTTCCGCAAGCAGGATGCTCTCACCTTGCAGTGGTCAAACTGTACAGTGAACTGTACATCTGGGCTCCGAGGGGAAGGTCTGTCCGGGCTCACCATTGGGGGGGCAACTGTGGGTTCGCCGTGTTCCCAAAATGTGTACTGACAGAAGACAAAGTTGGACAGGTTGAGGGGCAGCCCCGTCGCCTCCCTGATGCGAATCTGTAATGGGAAAATAGTGTGCATGAAGCCTACTTACTTGAGAACAGTGGTACCTTGATTCAAAAGTTTATTCAGTCGTAATTCTATCAATCTACTTGTACAATGGTGCCTTGAGATACAAGTGCCCCGAGATGGATTTTTCAACAGATGAGCAGCCTCTTCGAAGATTTTTTTTTTTGCTTTAACTTACAAGCAAAATCTGAGATACGAGCACTGTATGGCGGTGGTAAAATTGTTTCACAACAAGAAGCTGCTAAGAAGATAGGGAAGTATTCTGAAAAAAAATGGCTTTGAGACATTTAAAGCCACTCCCAGTTGAAGTTTACTGTCAAACTAAACATCAAACAAAGAGAATTATACATTCAACCACACAACTTTGCCTTTAAGTCTGTTAGCTTATTGCTAACCCATAATAGAAAACGCCATCGACAGATTAACAAATAGCATCATCAGTGTAAATCAAATACATTTTCCCCATTTAAATTAATTGAAATACCATTCATGTGTTCCAGCCCACCCCAAAACATTATTTTTGTTACCTATTTTTTTTTAAATTGGATTGATTTTCTTTCAAGGAACAAACCAAACAAAACAACAAATGACTGCATATTTAGTATGCGCAACACTCAGTCTTTCAATTCAGAAAAAGAAACGAGTCAAATTCAGTTTGACATAGATAGGTACATATAGACATTTCAACAAAACACCAAACGTTGCACATATATCGACACTTATTCACAATAAACTTACCTCCTTAGAAATATATATATATATAAGTAGGAAGTGATCTATTTTGACTGCATCTTTACAAGAAGTGGAGAGATTTACATGAATTTTTGTTCACCTAAGTGCAGCGTATCCGTAACCCATTCATAACTGAAAGCTTGACTTGCAACTCGCAGCAGTTAACCAAGCTAAGGTTTGTAACTCGTAAATTGGGTCAATCGTAAGTCAAGGCAACACGAAACAAGTCATGCGTCGATTTCTTGAAAGATGCAGCATTTACCCTGATTATGAGCCTCTTGGCCACATGGACAATTTCTCCGTTGGTGTCCAAGACTTCGTAGTAGCTACTCTCACTGGAATTTTCAGAGGAGTCGTCTCCACCGCAAAGGCGCTCGGGCACGGCACCGCTGACCCGCATCAGCTCCACATGCAGCCTTCCTGCTAACTGTGCACACAAAGACACAAGCAAATCTCTGGTGTATAAAAAAAACAAAACAACAACAAACCCTTCAAGTGGATGTTATGCTATGTTCACGAAGCTATTAGTGGTGATGTGCTCTTACCTCTCCCTGTTGGCTGATGATGGGAACAGCATATTGCAGTTTGACATCATGGAAAAGGCACTCCAGAAAAATGTTAGCCACTCCTATTAGGTTGTGGTTCTCTTGTGCGTCGTAAAATGGGTCACAGTGTTTACTATTTGCCTTGCTATACTGTAAGTACACAAAAAAAATTGAATGAACAAAACGGTTTTTTTAAACTCTGTTTTCAGTCTTATGTTTCTTACCACTTCCTCTGAGCCTTCCCTCCAGTCCCGGTAGTGGTCTCTCATGTCCACCAGCTTGTTCTCCAGCTTTTCAATAGTCCAGACTTGAGTGCCCCTCCCCTTCCTGCGCACCTGGATGGCTGGCTCACTCACTATGGCTCCACGCTGAATCAAAGAAACACCTTAGATGGGCCTGAGCATGTGAAAGAGTGAGAATGATTGATTGGCGACGGGTCAGCCTGCTCACCTTGCGGTTTGCGCTCAGGTTGGCTGCAGGAATCTGCAGTGTGACCTGATAGTCGGTCAGTTTGCTCATCTCCTCTGCCAAAAAGTTGGCCTCTCGCACCAGGGTGTTGGCTTTTAGAACCTGTTCCCTGAGCCGAGAAAGACTCTGTCGGAAAAGTTCATCCCTGACGTACACAAACACACCAAGACAAATCATCAGTTATTCGAGAAGAAACAAGGAAGGGATTTACTGTGGATATCCGTGCTTTCTTAGCATAGCAACACTCCATCAACTTTATCAATCTAAAACTAAAGGAACTTTTGGGATGAAAAAAAAAACAATCTAAATTGAATCAAAGATGTGGTAGGATGTGCAAAATTGGAATTTCCTCTGGGTGCACAAAGATGCTTTGAGACTAAATCCAGGACACACGCAGTACATTGCTGCTTGATGTCGATGCTTCAGTTTGAGGTTTGACCTGACCAGAACCTTGAATGTGACCCAAAGCTTCACTTCACTGAAGCTTTTCCACTGGCAACTTTTAAGAGGCGGTTATCTTCACTTCATGAGGACAGCCGTAATTTTGCATTACTCACTACCCTAAACACTGTCTTGCAGTATCTCAGTCTTTGGGCATGGATAGAACCTCATATTATGGGATAACACAGCATGGGAAAAACTAGCACAGCGGAAACTGACTGTCCTCCTTAGAAATGCAGTGTACAGTATTCTCTATGGAGTAACAAGTGATGAAAAACAGATATTATAAAAACGGGGCAAGATTATTGCGCTTGCTCATACACTATATCCCCGATGGTTGTGTGCCACCAACCGTTCTTCTGTCCACAGTTGCAGCTTGCCGTGCGGTGTGTGCGTCTGGAACGTGAGGCGGTCACTGTTGCTGCGTTGGTGCTGTTGCGTTTTTTCGGGAGAAAGTTGTTGCCGCAGAGATTCCAGCTCCCGCTCGTACATCATCCTCTGTTCCTCCAGAGCCGTGCGCTTCTCTTCCAGGTACTGTTTTTCCAGAACTTGGACCACATTTTGCATGGGGTCTAGAAAACCATATGCAGGTGTGTTAAAATGCGATGCACGAGTCTCGTTTAAAATTTATAGAATAGGTACAGAAATTTATTTGAAGAACTTGTTGCTGTCATTTGAAAAGTGGTATTGTTGCATTTTACGGTAAATAAAAAAAAGTCTACACACCGCTGTTGAAAAAGGCAGATAAAAAATTTAAACCAAGGCTCATACAGAACACCGCACCTACTGTCGAGTACAGTGTTAGTTGCTTCAACCTTGGGGAATGTACGGTTAACTGTAATTCTAAAAGGCTTTAACGCACGAGCAAACCTTTAATCGCGCAGTTGCAAATCAACAGTCAGGATAACATAAAGGAATCAAAAATACTTTATAGTTCCGTCATTAAAAAAAAATACTATGATAACGTGGGAGTAACTGGAACAAAATGAAGAGTTTCAGATATGGAATTTCTTGGTCTCGATGTGCTGGCTACAGAAATGTACTGTGGATTGAGAGCGGAAACAGGATTGTCCTAATTACCGTTGTTTCCCAGAGTCTTCATGATGACCTCCATTTGGGCAAACTCATAGCTGTAGTCCTGCTCAGAAGATGCCTCACTGGCGGTCTCCACATCCACCTCCACAAAGCTGTCCCTAGGAGAAGCCCGCTCCAGCTCCTTCAAACGGTCCCGCCGCTTTCGTTTTGGTAAATTGATCCTGTGACAGATTCTGTTTATAGCTTTCTAACTCATCACGTTAGCTTTGAAGCCCAAGCGTGCCGCACCTAAAAAAGTGGTTGTTGCCCCATAAGATCCGGTCTCCGTGCCAGAGATGAACCAAAGAATCGATCATTGTTCCATTCACACAGGTCCTGCAAAAGAAAAGGTCAAGTAGGTTTACTATCTACATCCTTTCGGGGGGGGGCAAAGTGATGCCCGTTGAACAATTCATTTGTCGCTGGAGGGGAAACATGCTTGTGATATCAAAGCAGATTCCTCGACAATGAGCTCATGTGAAGTTTCAACAGACAAAGTAGTAGTCGTTTAACTGCAACTCACCGGGCGTTCCCTACGGGCATCAAGGTGACATCACCATCCGGGCAAAGTTCCAGTACACAGTGCAGCGGTTGGATACCGATTCCAAACAGCTGGATGTCCTGAGAAGTGTCAGCACCGACATGCGTGCGCTCCTACACACAGGTGGAAGGCATATTTGGGAGACGAGAACAGCAGGCCTGAATGGAATTATGTTCATCTCCCACGTTTGGCATAATTTGTAGTGACAAAATGAGAAAACAAGACTGTGCCTGCAAGAATAAAAATGGGGCAAAATGAGATTAAAAGTTTAAAAAAAAAAAAAGAAAAGTGCAGCGCTCTGACTGCGCCAGTGGGCGTTGTTAGACAAACATCTCCCTTTTCAAAAGGATGTCCAACCCTGTACAAACCACCCCATTTCACATTAGCGTGGTCATTCCACATCGAAATGGCAGACCCGGACTGCAGAACCCAGACAAAGGCCTGTTGTTCTAGTATGCTGCGCAGGTTGCTTCCTCCTACGCCCACAGGTCTGTCTTGCAAGTTGCTTTTGTCTTTCTGAGTCACACAGGATCACTGAAATATCTGTTTTATTTACAATACTCGAATCACATTGAAAATAAGACTCCCTTGGCTTTCGAGGTGTTTTTGTCTTTGGCAGCTGCTACTGGAAAAAATGACTTTGTACTTCATCCGTGAACTGAACGAGTCAACATTTTCGACGAGTGAACACATTAAATTCTTGTGTTTAATAACTTCTTTTTAGAATGGATGAAAAATCAACACTCCACTGTGTGAAAGCAGACAAGAGAAAGTAATTGTGGAAGGAAGTCGAAGTACCTGGAAAAAACTCCCGCAGTCATGGGGACAACAAGCAAACTCTACGCCGGAAGGCCTGAATCCAAATTAAAAATCTCAAACCTTAGAACTGTGAGCACACACTAGCTAACAACTTTTACACTGAACTGCTGAGATGTTAAAACTTTTCACCTTCGATGAAAGCTCCTAACACATCCCATCCCAGTTACTCAGGCCTTAAAAAAAAGAAGGAAGGAAGGAAGGAAGGAAACTCCAACGAGAAATCTTATTGGCAACAAACAGTTGCGGTACTTCTGACTTTCAATGATGTAATGGAGGATCAAAACAAGCCTTCGCTTTCCTGCTTTTAGCACCTACTCGCCTCTGAATTTCACAAGATGAGTTCAGTTTGAAAACCTTGCATGTGGTTGATGAAAAATCACCACCTTTAGCCCAATTGATCCGCCATCTCCTAAGCTGTGCCACGACTGAGTTGACATCACCACCTCAATTTAGTGAACTTGACACCGAACCTCCTTTAGTCAAATGAGTACCTTAAGATAGTAAACGAGCAGCTCATTTAAGGCAGGATCCGCGTTCAGATTGACCAGGAAACATTTGTCTTCACCCACTTTAATCCCGGATGTTTCCAGAGAGATGCCCATGCTCTCCAGTTGCTTTTGGCGCTCCTGTAAAAAAAAAAAAAAAAAAAAAAACAGTATGACTTCCCTGTGACCATATTGGGTTTATCCAATGAATATTATGTCATATACTGTATATACACACCGTGGCGATCTCCTCAGTCTTCCTCAGCTTCTCCTCCCAAGTGACTGTCATCTCCATGATGAGTTTCTCTGATTCATGCAGCTTTTCCTTCAGTTCAGGAGCCTTCAAAGACTTGAGAGCAGATCCGGATCATATCAGGGCCACGGCAAAACGGCCATGCAAGCTTTCCGTTGGGGCCAAAATCTCACCTCAGCCTGAGACAGCTGAACTTTAAGCTTCTCCACCTCCTCTCGAAGCTCTCGGATGATGCGAGCATTGGGGTCTTCGTTCACAACGGCGTGGTTGACGATCCTCTTGGCTCGATCGGCGTAACGCAGAGTGGAAAGAGTTTCTTCGTAGTTGTCTGCCGCAGGACTCACGGTGGCTATCATAGCCGTCTTGCTGTTTCCACCGAGGTTGTCCTGAAGACAAAGAGAGTCAAAATGTCCGAGTATGGTAAATGTGGTGTGACAGACATCTATTATCAAAAGGCACCTCAACGTGGGGAACAAACCTTGAGCAGCCAGGTGAGGACTGAATCCCTGTAAGGGACAAATTTGGCTTTCCCCTTTCCTGCAGACTGATCGGCCAGCGCAGAAATCACACAACCTAACGTGGTAAGGGACCTACAACCACACACAAAGTTCAATTAAAAGACTCCACGAGTCCTCCAATTCCTTCCCTCATAGAGATATATTTAATGTGGTACCTCTAATTAACAAAATTAATTTCTTAACTAGAAGAAATTGTAAGTAGAGACACTTTTTCCATGTAAATGCCCTAATCCGTTCCAAGCCCCCCAAAATTCAGTTTTCTAAAGCATAAAAATGCATCAAAATATGTAACAAATGTTAGAATTAGATTATTGCCCAATAAATGAGAGTTGTGTATAATGTAAAAAACAAAGAATAAACTAAAGTATAATAAAAGGTATGGCCATTTAACTTTTAACTGCGCCCTCATCGTTTTTTGCCCTCTTTAGTTCATGTTCTCTCTCAGAAATTTTTTTTGCCTAGCGTTTTGTAAAGAACTGATCCAAGGATGTTTGCTTTTGTCGGCTTTTAACAATCCTTCGAAAATGTCCAAGGCAAACATCAGCATAGTGAGCGATCGCTCGACTGGAGAACACTTTTTCTGGGTGATTCACATTTACGTAAAGCTATCGTAACACCTCATGGCCCGATGGGTGAATGACGAGGACGCTGCATAGACACATATCTATCTATCTACACACATAGAAACATTCGGTAGAGGTTCCAGCCAATGGGAGGCCTGGATGATGCTTGGTAATAGCCAATGGCAGAGCAGCTATAAGTATGTTGCATTCAGGAAACTCTGAGCTGCAAGGAGCACCCCATACTGTATTTTTACCTTTTGTATCTTGAAATTTATTTTGTAACAAGAGGCAATATTTTCCTGTTGAGGTGTATCGTAACTTGAAAATTTCATATGAAGATACGTTCGTAAGTAGAGGTACCACTGTATATGTCTTTTCAGACTCTACCCATTCAATCATGGGGATTTATTTTTTCAATTCTTCTCAAGAGTTAGCGTTTAAAATAAAGGCTGACACTGAATGGGGTAAGCGTTTTCAAAACTAAAACCACAACATGAAACATGTTTTTAATTAATATTTATCAAAAGTGGTCTTTTTCTGTCTTGTTGAGTTACAATTAGAGAAATAGTTCTTGTATTTAATCTGCGCAGTTGTACCTATTGATGTGTCCGATGCCCATTTTGGCTTTTAATCACGCATCGTCTCCAAATATACCCACTTGTTGATGTTGCTTCCTTCTTTTAGTCGCTCCCCAGCAGCTCCCGTCTTGGACACTCGTTCACTTCCTGCCAGGTCAACCAGACTCATCTTGCTCACCTTCTCCCCGGAATTCTGGTCACCAACCCAGTCAATTGTAAGGCCAATACATTTGCGGAACACCTTGTGTCGACCTTACAGATTCAAAAGAACCCACCCCTGATTGTAGATCGTAGAGTGTTTGTGTGACAATAATACTGAAGACGGCATGAGATCGGCTGCTCTCTTCATTCATGTTGGTGGCCGCCACTGTGCGCGATTTGTTCCCCTCCGACATGAGCACCTCAATGTCCTGAAGTCAAAATAGACAATACGTCCAAATAGTAAATGTGCTGCACTTATGAATTGAAATTTATGACATCATATTAATTTCGGGCGGCCCGGTGATCCAGTGGTTAGCTCGTCGATCTCACAGTGCAGAGGTCGTGGGTTCGATCCCGGCTCCGGCCTTCCCGTGTGGAGATTGCATGTTCTCCTCAGGCCTGCGTGGGTTTTCTCTGGGTACTCCGGTTTCCTCCCACATTCGCAAAACATGCATGGTACGCTAATTGAACACTCTATATTGTCCCTAGATGTGAGCGTGAGCACGGATGGTTGTTCGTCTATGTGTGCCCTGCGATTGGCTGGCAACCAGTTCAGGGTGTCCCCCGCCTACTGCCCGAAGATGGCTGGAATGGGCTCCAGCACGACCCTTGTGAGGATAAAGCGGGTCGGAAAATGGTTGGATCACATTTATTTCATTTATCAGTAAAAAAAAAAAAAAACCCTGATTTTCAATAACTTATTTTTTTTATTAATTTAATGAGCAGACTAAAAATTATCTGAGCTTAAATTATCAGCTTCCTTCACAATAAAGCATCGATCTATCTATCAGATGATTAAGTTAGTCTTAACAAGTTTCATTTTTCAACACATATTACACCAACCCCAGAGGACAAATGCCTTTGCTGCTCATTGCTGTTTATTGTTCTTCTGAGAACAATAAAAAGGCAGCCAATGTAAAGCAGCACTTTAGCTGGGTCGTGACAGGCACTGAGATCGAGATCTGGGAAATCCGTTGCATGAATATCAGGCAAGCATAGCACACAGAAATCGGGTGGAGATGTTTAAACTTAATTAAGGGAAGCCCCGCCAATGCTTGGCATACAATCCACCCAAAACCACACGAATGCATTCCACATTCACATAACATGTGTCATTAGGAACCCGTGAGGATTAAAACCACATTGTTAAAGCTCAGAAAGCTATTTCACTGGAACGACTAGCGTTTGACGCTGTAAATGATTTCTTTGCATTTGTGAAATTTGAGTGAATTTTGTTCAGTGGGACCATGCGAAGGCAGCCCGAGCGTTTCATCAGTGTGAAAAGACAAGGGTGAAATAGCTGATACCTCAAAGTTGGTCACGGCTAGCTGAGACAGACCATCCACGTACGGACCCAGGACTTTGTGTTCACGGACCTTCAGAGACTGTCGGCTCCTTAAAAGAGGGTCAAGAAAAGGTCTAGTGAGTGAAAAGAGTGCATGCTTCTCGTGGCGCCAAGCACATTCCATTTCCTCATTCTCTTAAGTCCTTTTTCAAGGCTTTTACGGCAATTTGGAGTGTTGACACCTTAAGCATGTCATTAGACCGAATGACACAAAACGGACTTTTTAAATGCTTGTCTGGAGTGATTGCCCACCCAACCAGGGGGAACTCACACAACGAAATAAATCTTTTGCACTCAACCTGCTTCCCAAAAAGGGTCTGTGAGTGAGCTCTTTTGAATTTTGCTCAGTCGTGAGGTGAGGAGGAGCTGGGGCGTGTGTTTGTTGTGCTTGGCGATGTGACCGCCGCATGGGCCGCATACAAGGAGCAGCGGACAAAATCGAATCCATTATCCAGTCTAATTTGCAGTTCACACACGCGTTTTAACTTTTCTCAGCAAGTAGCCCCAAAGCTGCATACCGAGTCATCATTATAACAGAAGCTATTTGCGTCTTGGCATACCACCAGTACAGGGAAACGGTACAGAACTGGCAACCCCAAACTTAGCGATTTAAATAAAAGTGGATGTTAGGCGTAGTGTCATTCTTTTTTCATTGTGTATTGACGATAAAAGCATACCGGAGAGCATTTAAGACACCGGCGACTCGTTTTAAATGCTGTCTTTTAATCAACACCTATTAAAGGAAAGGAAAAAGTTCAAGCCAGATTCAGGACATCATCTGGATAGAATAAAATAATAACAATAAAACAAGAGATGGAAGTGCCTGAACGTTCAGTATATATGAGATTTTAAATGTTGTAATTATTGCCAGATGCACAGTCTGGAGCAGATCCGGTGGAAACACGATTTAACATTTCCCACCTGATGTTCAAAACACATTTGTCACTTAACTGACAAGATTTGGCCGATATCAATGTTTTGTGCTTCAAATGAAGATCCTTGAAAGAATCATCACATAAATAGAGGTTGACATGTCTAAAACTGTAGGCAGGAAATTGCGTGCGCGCGCACACACACACACACACACACGCACGCACGCACGCACGCACGCACGCACGCACGCACGCACGCACACACACACACACACACACACACACACACACACACGCACACACACAAATTGAACATAAACTTTATGAAGGTTTCAGCTAAAAACGGATGGTTTAAATGACAAAATGTTTTTCGTCTTAGCGCAGTTCTTCACTTCTTTCTAATTTAGTTCAGTTTTGGATCATAGTCTATTACGTTCTAGCTAGCTATTGCACAATGACGGCTGCATTTGGCTCTTTGAAACCTTAAACAACAGTTCTGTTTGCCAATACACTAGATATGATTGGAATAATGATTTCCCCATCGAACAGGAATACCGTACAATCTTCCCTCACTTTATTCACTTGTCAGTTTATAACTGTAATATCATCATTACAGTGGTATGTATGAAATCTCTTTTTTTTTCTTTTTTTTTTTTTAAATACAATCCCTTAAGGCTGCCTGTCAGTTGTCGAGGAGAAATCCAATAGCTCAGAGTCACTCTATCCAACTCAGTAGATATACATCCACTCAGGTAAACAGTTACTAGGTTTCCTTTTTCCATTCAAGTCACCTAATACCAGCTGCAGGTGTTTTTTTTTTTTTTAAACCAGCTAAAGTCTGTCAGCTTTGGCCAAACTGTCTAGCGATGACATGCTCTTCCACTACATTTTCAACAGCTCTTCCATCTGCAATCCAGTTGTTGGGGAAGGTATTAGGCAACGCACAATCCAATGTTTATATTTTTAGCAAAGCCTCATAGCTTTGGAATGGTGAAGGAGCTTATTTTACCCTTTCAGGACCAAAAATGTGTATTTTTCTATGCATTTTGGCTTATAGTGTCAATGTAAACAGAATTCTCAGTCGATGAAAACACATTTTTTGGTAATAATAAGACGACTTTTTCAATGTTACTGGGAAAACACTGTCTCAAAAATACTGTATATAAACATAAGAGTTTGTACATCTATTTCATCGTTGAAGCTATTACTAAATCGTGAGCTACAATTAATATTGAAGTGTAAAAGTCAAGACACACATCCATGCATGGAGTTCCCTTTTTTGATAGATATCATTTATTGTGCTTTTGCTATACAATACAGCCTTGTAATTGGCTGAAAGGGCCTTGTGTTTAAGGGTTATTTCACCAAATGTTGTTTTGGCATGGCACTTGTGAGCCTGCCATTGTGTTTTCTTGTGGCCATTTTTTTTCTTCAGAATGACAGTGGCCTGGCTCAGTAATGGACATTTGACGACATACTTATATATTTTAGATGTTTTTTAAATGTATTCCCGAGGGCACAAACGAGTTGAGACGGACTCAACAGCACTTAATTGTGCCTCAAATTCTTTGACAATCAGTTCAACAGAATCATCAGAATTCGCAAGAGTTTAATTCATTGATTGTTCTGTCAATTCACTGCCTATTCATCCCAAGTGGGAAAGAAGTGTATTGGAATCAAAGTCATTAAAAAAAAGTGGATAAGGTGTCACGAGTCGGACAGTATTATGGCTACCTCAAAAAATGAACTTCAGTCATCTATCACTTTTATTTTTCTTCTGTGCTCGCTATGATCTCCAATTACAAAATGGACAATGCCACTCAAACACCTCCATTCAAACTTAGGGAAAGTCCGTCTATCCATCCCGAACGGAGACACATTTGTGAGACAAGTCACAACAATGGCAGCAGCCTGAAGACCCGAAAGCCCGAAAGTGTAAATAGTAAACCAATCAACTGTGGGAAGTGGCCGTGGCTTCCTACTTGGCTGCGTCGCCGCCTTGAGTGGGAGCAGCCAGCGAGGTCACCGCTCACGCTGGAGTCGGAATGAATCAGAAAAAATGACACACCACAATTTGTGCAAGCAGCTGCGTGTGTGTGTGTGTGTGTGTGTGTGTGTGTGTGTGTGTGTGTGTGTGTGTGTGTGTGTGTGTGTGTGTGTGTGTGTGTGTCACCGCAAGTCCAAAGCATTAGCTCATTGGCTTCACAGAGCAGATTTAGGTCACATGTGTGTTTACTACGAGAGAAAAGCACAAGACCACCCATCAAACTCACCCTTTGGGATCCAGTAGGTCGCGGACCTTCTCGTTGTAGATTTCCATGTAAGACACTTCCACTTTAAAAGTATGGCCCTCGTTCGTCTCGTGGTGGACCCTCTCAAACAGCGAGCAGCAAAGTCGAGGGATCAAACCCGGCTGTTCCCCGTTGCCCATCATGGAAAACGACTTGCCAGAACCTACAGTACAAAAATAACAGAAATATTTTTTTGGGGGGGCATCAGACATGAAGTTAGGACTAGGAGATATGATTTTAAAATACAATTTCAGATCCCCCCCCCAGAAAAGGATATAAAAATGGGAATCAGTTCAAGTGACTCTGTGATCACCCTGAAAAATGACCTTGATGAATTGACCAACCTTTTTTTTTCAGCTGAAAATTTCTAATAGTTCTTGTCTAATTCCCGCAAACATCCTGGAGGTACAATTCATGCAAGTACACACAGCCATGCGTTTTCTTTAGCGCTCATCCTCATAGGTGTCGTTCGTGGGTGAACCGGAGTTGATTGCAACACCCTGAACTGGTCGTTAGTTGTAAAACACATCGAGTATTAACACCGAAACCGAACACACATACGTCACATCTACAGACAATTTAGAGTCTTTAATAAGCGTGCATGTTTTTAGAATGGGAGAAGAAACTGAAATATCTACACAAAACCCACGCAAGCAAAGGAAGAACATGCACAGGCAGATGAGCGAACCACGACTCCATTGTAAAGCCAAACCGAATTTAATTCTTTCGAATGACACAATTCTTGATCATGATACCATTTCAGAATTACCTGTTTGTCCGTAGGCAAATATGCAGGCATTATATCCCTGGAATGCATTTTCAAGTATTCCCTCTCCAAGGCACTTGAACACCACCTCTTGACCTTTTAGACAAAGACTCGGTTACCGTGGAGATTAGGGTAAACAGATCATCATTGTGTCTAACACATGCTTTGGTTTGCATCTTTCAGTCCGTGTGGCAAACGAGAATTAGTCAACAAGAAATCTAAACACAAATCCAGTGACCAATTGCTAACTGGTCATGTTGAAAGTATTTGTGCCGTGCAGTCTCTTGTGCCGTGCTATTTGGAAATAGAACAGCTGTTTAATGAGCTAAATAAAGCCTTGGCTCTGTAGCTTCGGGCAGTGCCCCTGGGGGATCAGATTTGTCTTCTGCACATATTACATCTCCATCACAAAACGGAGTGGCAAGCAACACTGCCTTCTTATTGAAAATCTTCTGCTTGCACAAATGAACCAGTTTTCTTGCGTGATTGAAAATGTTGCATAAAGCATTCATTAGCGCTATGAATAGGAGCTAAAGATATCTGATCAAATATGCGCAAGCACATGAATTATAACGCTAGAAGAATAATACACGAGCACGCATGTAAATGTAAACGCTTCCCAAAAAGCTTGCCTTTATTGTTGTTTACCAGCAGTGGAGGTGTGAGACGTTTCATTTTCTGGCAATACGGATCAAGACGTGGCTATTTTTGATTTTCTAAAATTGTGAGAATTTTTTCTGCGGACCATTTAGACAAATTTAAATGTTTAAAATGATTATCATTTTATGCATGATAATTTTTTAACGATATGCATTGCATTAGCTTCATCATTATTATCATTAACCTTCTTGGCAGGGAGAAATCACAAGACCATATGCAGTAGTGAGGTGTAGTTTCCATTTTGACTTGCGAAGTTAGCAAATAAAATTTTCCTCGCCTTATAGAGTGCAGTAACAGGAAAATTAACAACAAAAAAATATTCTTTCGGGAGGTACTGACGGTATAGTCTTTACTGCTGAACCCAAGTATGATACATTGTAGGGTGTCCACTATTATATAATAAATGAGGCGTTACATTTGTTTGTGGGCGTGCTAAATCTAGGTTCAATGATTTCTTTTTCCAGGTGTAATGTGAAACCTAGGGCGGGTGCCTGTTCATATTTAAGTTTGTGCATTCAGTCAGAACGTTTGAGTTGAGTGCGATCCAAAGCGCTTCTTCACTGGCGCAAAGCAGCCAAAATTCTTGTAACGGGAAGCAGGTTTGGAGCTCTTTAGGGAGGAGTGAAGAATTCTCATATGTGACTCACCGGCATATTTGGGAACATTGGACTCATCCATGGACCAGAAACAGTGGTCAAAGGCGAACACCTGCAGAGAAGACAGCAAAGTGAGCGTCAACACACTTTCCACACTTGTCCAAGTACGTACACAACTTGATTCTGCCTCCTTTCAAGGGCACAAAATCAGGCTTATTGTGCCTCGCCATGCAAGGAAATCAACAGGATACAGCATGTCTGTAACAGTAAGATGCAGACTAACTGAGCGTATTGTTCAAAGTAATGCTCATTAAGACCGTCTGCACAAATCCACTGTTAGCGGTTTTGTCATAGTGGCTGCAGCTAAATGAATTCATAAATCAGGGTCAACGCTCCCCCAAGAAATTCCAGCACTCAGTGACCCTTGTCTCCAAGGAAACGGGGCCGTAGCGCTTCCCGGCGGTGCATGCTGGCTCAGAGCCCTCAATGCTGGGTTTCACAACACAGAATTGAGTAGAAGAGACCCCTTGCTTTGTATCCTAGAGACACCTGCATGAGCTCTGGACCAGTGACACAGAGAGATGCTCTCTGGGGGCAAAAAAAAAGAAAAAAAAAGAGAGCCTCTTTTAGCACAGACCTCACAAGGAAACACCTTTCACTGTATGTACAGTATCTGTTTATGAGCATGTTTACGTAATTTAACTGTACTCAATCTAAACATCACAAAAGAAAATACTGTCCGTTTAAACTGTTTTTATTTTAGAAACTGTTTTTAAATCTTGTATTTGTTTATCCATCCACCCATCCCTTTTGTAATTTTCTGATCCATATATATTTATGTAAAATGCATGTTAAATGATGATCCTGGTTTATTATTGCATGCTTCTTACAATACAATTTTATTGACCATACTCATTCTCAGTGGGATGGATATAACTCAATGCCACTGCAAACTACACCAAGGTCCAACATTAAGCCTTTTAGATTGGCGGCCCTTTAAAGGCCACCGTGAGCCGCGTTGTGGCGGCCGTGTCAGATGACGTACTGGGCTGTATATTCATGATATTATATGACATATTGATATTATATGATCGAGGCAGCATCTGTAAGGTATGTGGTGGCCCGACACAATGCCATAATGGCTCAGGGCCATCGGGTCACCATTTATGTCAGACCCTGTACAACCAGAATAATAAACTCTGGTCTCTTTCAGTGTCAATCAAAAGTCAGTGCAGACAGAGTCTTTGATAGAGCTCTTGCAATGGATTGCATTTGATCGTATACCTAATATTATGACTGGTTGGTGCAAGGATATGCGTATAAACTAAATAGAGGGACTGTCATAAAACGTTTAAATAAAAAGATGAAGTTATTTTCACCTTAGATTGAACAAAGCATTTTATAATCAAAATATCCACGCGACTTTCCGGTACATTTTTATAAGACTGATTGATATATTTGTTCGATAAATTATAGCTTCAGTATTATACACAGTTGATGCCACACTCAAATAGCTAGTAATTGTCTTCATAAAATCAAATGGAAAAAGTATGCTGCTGTGCAAGCACACAATGCGGATGCTGCTGTTTGAATTTGAGCATTGTAGCAATTTGCTGTCAAAGCATTACTACCGTTACCCAACACCTTAGTAATCATGATAGGGGCTATTGGCTGGGAAGCTGCTGCTTTTGCACAGTCAGCATGAGAAGCTTAGACGTACGCACGCAATGAATGCTTTGAAAACAAAACCTCTTCTTATGACTTCAGTGAAGTGACTGGTGCCTTTGAAAGGAACAAAAAGTGCCATCATTCTAAATTAGAGCTGGTTTACTAGCTATGACCGAGCAATCTTCTCTACGCTGTCCTGCTGACCAGCCTGAGTGAGAGTGTTGTGACTCCATTAAAAAAAAAAAAAAAAAAATCTTGATTGGACAACAGACCTTTTTCAAGTCTCACACAGGGGTTAACTTCACTTCCGCGAGCTGTTTTTGCAATTGCAATAAGACATAATCAAAGTGGCACAACGTGTGGTGAAATGGAGTTCAGACCAACTCTCACAACCGAGCAGTCCGACAATAATGTTTCAATTAGGAATTGAAATCAGACCAAGACACACTGAAGAAAGCAAGCAGAGGAAGCAAATCACTTGCTGACAGGCTGGAAGATGCTAACCAAGTCAGAAGAGCTAGCAGACTGTCTCGCTAACTGTCTTGCTAGCATTTCTTAGATTGTCCACCTGACAATGAAACGAATATGCTACAACTCTGTACGACTACACTTTGTAGCTCCGTTGAAATAATGTTTGGACATTTCTATCATAAAATATTAATCTTGGCTGTTTACAGCTAGCAGTGCTAAGGCGAAAAAAAAAGGTCTCATTATGTACAGTAATATTCTGCCTTGGTTTTACCAGATCCAAAAACGGCTCATAACAATTTGATAAGCGTTTTAGCATTTGGTCTAAAATCCTGGTGGCTAACGTCAAGTGTGCATCAGTATTATTCGTGCGCAAGGTGCTACCTGGTGTTGCTCGAGACTTCAGACTGCACTCGTAAGCATAAGGGATCTCTGTCTGCTACTCCAGGCCTGAAGTCAGGAATACTTGGATTTCAGAGCAAATTCCCCATTTCCCTCCATTGCAAGGATGAGTGGATGCGGACTGTGGCTGTAGTTTTCTCATGTTTATGCTTGTAGTTACTGTATCATACTGTCAGAATCTGATACCAGCCTATGCCTAATTACAAGGAATTAGCTCTGCACGATAATGATGCTGATGTTGACTTCTAGGGAGATAAACTGTGTATTGGACTATAACCTGTGTTTTGAAAGGCTGTGAAAGAAGTTAGCAGACACATGGTGGTCTTGCGATGGGGTAAATTCAATTTACGGGTCCAAGAGACTCAGTCTCCCGGAACCCCGTCAACGAGTGTACTCGACACAAAAGACGGCGTATGAAAAATCCCCGAGCCGAGTCACCAGCGTGTCTTCAAGGGGAAGAGTGGGGGGTGTGCTTTGGATGTGCGCGCACACACTGGCCCAGTGTCCACGCTCATCCTGCTCTCATTGTACCGCCTTTGTGGGTGCTCAGCACATCTTAAGAGCGCTGACACATTCACACGGACATCTATCCAGCTCCTGCTGACCGACCCAAAGACTAAAACGCCCTCAATCACTGCCATTGTGCGCAGAGATGTGCGGGATGTTTGTCACATCCTCAAGGAAACCGTCTTCGGCATCCGCGACTGGATGACTTTTCAACTGTTTACACTAAAATGGTTTCTGTTAATTCTGCACATCAGCTCTGTTGATTGCTCGCAGTCATTATAACAACGCAGACAGTTGAGGCGCGGGGTACATACCTTCGACTGCTTCCTGCTGAATGACGTGTGCAATCCATCGTACAGATTCCAAGGTGGGGAACCACCGGAAGAGAGACAAAAAGAGCAGTTAGGAATGCTGAGATGTAATAAGAGGATACTAAACGCTAGTTAAATATTGTTGGATTTCTCCCTGAAGCACGCATGTGTATACACGACATAAATATACACTTTTTGGTCCCCTGTTCACTTCCAAGCAGCATTTCCTGGTGCTGGTCACTGCGGTGATTGGGTTCATGTTTGGGCCAGTGGAGCGTAAGTGAAGGGCAGGGACTTAGCATTCAATGTCCCACTGGCTCTGTTGAATAAATAGATCTTCTGCCTGTGGACTTAACAAAGAGGCCAGGTTGGGGCTAGCTCCACTCAGCATTCCCAGATCCCGGAACCAAGGACAAAAGGTTTGTGCCGTATACACAGCCTCAAGTTATGTAGGATTACACTCTGAACTGGAGAGGGAATTCCCCAAAGCTGAAAAACAGGCCCAAATATCCACCGCCACCACCACCACACATACACGTATGCTGCAATTTCTGGTCCCCATTAACTGTGAAAAATGAGGGATTATTGTACTGGCTGATATTTTTAAATCATTCGAATTTAGCAATGTTGTTAACAACCCCCTTCTTTGTGGTGTGTGAAATTTAGTAGACATTCATTTTCACTTTACTGGGTCCAGCAACTGACTGTTCATATGGACAAAACAGAGAAGTGTGTCTGAATACTTGTGTCCCTTTAACATTTGTAGTTCAGTCCTGCACTGATCATCAGATCCCTCCAATAAGTGTTTAGTGCCATAAAGGCAGAGAAGGTCGTCACCTTCACACAGTAACTAATACATACAGTACTGTATTAGCCTGGCTGCTTTTATAATACAGGAAACACTACACCTGAGTGGCACTCACATCTCGAGGAGGCATCATTAACATTTCCATTTAGAAAACGCTGCCACACACAAAACAAGGCCACCATTTAAAAAAAAATAGATTCAATTAAATTGTAATCTTATTTTCTTCCAAAGATAGATTAATAGGCCAAAACATTTTTTTATGAATGATTTGATCCAAAATGGCATAAAATTCAATGTCATTGTCGATCTTTTTGGGTAATGTTAAGCACACGGGTACAATTGAATACACACAATGTAGACAAATGTGTTACAAACAAGACATCTGTGCTATGGAGCTGCACACAAGAAATCACCATGTTAGAGAAACAACAATGAATCTCATGCCAGCAAACTAACCCACAACGAAGAGAAACTGATACAGACCTTTTACAGATGTACCAGAGAAGGAGCTACATGCGCCACAATGTACGGTGTAACTCCCTGCACAGATTCCCTGGCTCGCTTTTGTCTGTACAGTATAACCGGCCACATCTGGTATGTTGGGAATGCCGAGCAAGACAATGGAGAGAATTGTAGTCGACTGGTTATATATAGATTTTGATAACTCAATTACTCCCTCACACAAGATGCAGACTTCATTCATGACTTGTACGTTATTTAATGTGACGTTGTTCTTCCCAACCGCCTCTATCATTTCAAGAGCCCCCCTCTATAAGTTCCAGCATGTTAGGCGCCAGTTCTCCCACTCAGCCTGCGGATATAATCTTTTAATCTCAACAGAAATCTGCTTGCTTCTTAATATTGTCATACCTTCATGCTCGAAATCAATTTTCAATCTTTTAACGGTCTCATCCATTAGCCGTTGAATAGTACATTTCTATAAGGACTTTCTGCATGTAAATTAAATCATGTGATCATATTTGTGACTGTTAAATAATCGTGCAAATGCAGCGACATTCGACTGATTTTAATTTGGCATGAAATCAGTCAGCCTAAATGCTAAGTGAAGTGTATTCATGGCGTTCCACTGCCAGGCGTGGCCACTCTGTCACAAAGCTTGGATGGTGCAGCCTCAAGGCAATTTGATTAAAATTTAGCGTGTATGACATGTTGAGGTTGGAGGGCTTATGTTGCGGTTCAGCACACACAGGCCAAGGCTGGTGGTTTTGTGCGCTTCATTTTGTGTTGTACCAAATGTGTCGCCATGGCCGCACGCCGGCTCTTAGCCTTCCAGTCATTCGATGATAAGAGAATATAGCAACATAGCCGAAAGACAAATACAGTTATAATTCAGCCAACACCCCACACCCCTAAGATCTTATCTCAAAACGATCTTATCGGTCAGATCTCAAGCAGAAAAAAAACTCTCTTTTGACTGAAATGGTTATTTTTAAATTTCTTTCACGACGCGCCGTTGTGCATGGTTAGTTGAGGTCTTTCTGCAGCCTCCAGTTTTGAATACTGTATGCTCCCCGAAGGGGAGATATGAAGGGTGGGGGTGCCGGCAGGACATCCCCCCCCCGGATATGGAGTAGGATTAAGGCCACTGGGTCATTATGTTGTCAAAATTTGTCCTCTTCTCGCCCAGCAGGAAACAAACACACAAGAGAATGTATCATCGAGCAACACCGCATTGAGCATACAATATGAAAAAGTGCCTCTTCTTGTGGAACAACGGTTACAAAACAGAACGTGATGGTCGCAGACGAGCACAATATACTGTATCTCACTGACCATGTTGCAGTTGTTTATGATACTCATCTATACAATGTTTCCATCAATTCATTAAAAAACAAAAATAGTGCTTGTGGCGGCCTGGTGGTCCAGAGGTTAGCACGTCGACCTCACAGTGCAGAGGTATCGGGTTCAATTCCAGCCCCGGCCTCGCTGTGTGGAGTTTGCATGTTCTCCCCGGGCCTGCGTGGGTTTTCTCCGGGTACTCCGGTTTCCTCCCACATTCCAAAAACATGTATGGCAGGCTGATTGAACAGTCCAAATTGTCCCTAGGTGCGAGTGTGAGCGCAGCTGGTTCTTCGTCTCTGTGTGCCCTGTGATTGTCTGGTAACCGGTTCAGGGTGTCCCCCGCCTACTGCCCGAAGACGGCTGGGATAGGCTCCAGCACCCCCCACGACCCTTGTGAGGATAAGCGGTTCGGAAAATGGATGGATGGATAGTGCTTGTCCTCATTAAGGACACAGGTGAGCCAAAGCCTATTCCGGCTGACTTTGAACAAAAGGCAGGGGATACCCTGCACTGGTCACAAGTCATTCACACTCATATTTTACCTATAGTTAATATAGAGTCTTTACTTAACCAAACGTACGGTATGTTTTTGGAATGTGGGAGGAAGCCAGAAAACGCTGAGAAATTCCAAGCATGGGGAGAATCAACTCTACGCAAGCCGGAACAGATATTCAAAACCGGCCCGAATCGCTGAAGAAACGTGAGGCAGATGTGCGAAAAACTCACTATGATGCAGTCCTGTATACTGTAGCCTATATAACAGTATTAGGGACGCAATGAAAACTCGGTTACTTAAAACTAAAAATGCACTTTTTGGTCGAAAGACTTTTGCCGCCAAAACAAGCTTGGAGAAAGATGAGACTTTGAACAAAAAGCGGGCTTTGGCGGTGGGGGGTCCGCATCATGCTGCAGTGGCTGCCCACAGTGCACCTTGGTCGGGCGGCCACGCATGCGGCGATGGCCTGCTGAACAGAGTGAATGAAGGTGGCTGTGAAATGACCCCAAATGTATTTTGCTTTTAAGGTATTCCGTGTTTTTCAGCTTTGGTCCCTCCAGTTCTGGTTTCAGGCTCATTTTCAGCTCATTTTCAGAATTGTGAGGCGGATGTACTCATCACATCATAAAATGGTTCAATAAGCAGGTTTTCCAGAGGATAATCCAAAGATGTAAATGCACGCAGCACTTTGCGTTCAGTGTATCGTGGCATGGGAACTTCTGGTCACCATTGGAAATATATTAAAACTCTAAACACTGATGCTCATCCTCAGTCGTTGACCATTTTGACCAAACTATTGAACTCACCCCAGGCTTTACACATTTCACAACAGAGGTTAGGTGTGGTCCCAGTAGCTTGCCCCTAAACCTTTAACATCTCAAACTGTGATCCCCTCTGATCTGTCCATTGGAAATGCTTAATGTGATGCCGTGCATAGATTTCATTGTGTGAAATACCTAATACATTTTCCATACAAATACTTATTGTGGTCGGTTGTGTTGGATTGTTATGGTACATGAACTGTACGTAGTTGTGGCTGACTGTTATTTTCTTTTCCAAAACCTATGTTGAAAATAGAGCGCCTACACCCAAAAGCAGATGTGGTGTCTCCAAATTTGCAAATGAAGTAATTACAGATTAACAGTTTAACAGTCTGACGACATAATCTTGCTGCTCAAATGGACCAAGTACAGTCTCTCACACACACACACACACACACACACACACACACACACACACACACACACACACACACACACACACACACACACAGATTTAAATTCTGGCTGATTGCTAAAACTCGAGCCCTCCAAACCATTTAACCTCAATGTAACCACACATAAGACTCTTTCCCCTGTCACCTGTCAACATGTTTCAGACAATTACAATTCATACGAGTTTCGGAGCCAATCACAACGTTGGGATCTCTCACCCTCAGTGTGTGTCTGTTTTGGGTTACAGCACACCGCACTACTTTCGAGTGCAGACTAACATTTCAAATATTCCCTTAGAACGTTTAGAACGAATCAAGCCGGTTGCCCTCACCCATTCAAAGCGAGAGGTCACCCTGCTGCACTTACACACGGGAAAACACTGAGCCTTTTTGTGTGGGTTTGTTCAAAAAGATTCCTTTCAACAAAGTCTTCGGCTACCATTTAATTTTTACCAGCAGAGGTGCTGTTTATTCAGTTGCAACTTGAGTTATAAACCAAAGAAGATCGTAGAAAGGGTTCTGTCAGTCGTCATCTGTACCTGTGGGTAAAAAAAAAAAA